GGTCCAACGGTGGGACCAAGTGGACAGCATAGTCCTCGTAAGTGTACCGAGAACTTACGACATTCGCATCCTCCCCAGATGTGTAGGAGGCCGCTAGCAAGGCGGCCGAATCTGGCGGAGTGGGAGGTGGAGTCGCCTCACCTCCCGCGAAACTCAGTTTGCCGAGTTGAGACGAGGCCGCGCATCCTCCTTGGCCTGATCCTCACAAAGGGAGGTCTTGTGCTTGGTGCCGTTGCACCAGTAACTGCAGCCGTAACGGCCGCGGTACTTGTACTCGGCCTCGGTCAAGCCGAACTTGACCCATGGTGGTGCTGGCTGTCCATTTCCGGTAGGCGATGCTGATTTCGCCTTCCCGTTAGCTCGGGACTTCTTGTTGCTTCGCGGCTGGACGACAGCCACCTGATCTCCCTCACGTGATGCTTGGGCGGCTGCCGGATCTTCTCCACTGTCCGATTCAACTGCAGCGACATGCTGCGGCCGTGGACCAGTCTTTACCTTCTCCACATAGGTCGGCTGCCATGTTGATCTCTCGTGTGCAGCCGCCCTATTGGTCTTGATGATCTCTCTCGCCTTGTCAATAATCTCGGCGAAAGTTGCATACTGCTCGCGATCACCAAGTGCCTGGCTCAATGCAGCGCATGACCTGTTGTAGAACTCACAGCGCAGATGCGGAAATGGTAAGTCAAGATCGGGTGTTGCCTTGATCTTCTGCCATTCCGTGAGCCAGTCACGTGTTGCTGTGTTGCCTTGAGTCGTGGTGAAGAGACGGTTGATGGCGAGTGTTGGTGCGTCGTCGACGATGAACCGCTTCTTCCACAGCCGTGTTAACTCTTCCCATGTGATCTTGTCTTTCAGATCTGCGACGTCGACGCCGTGGGTGGCTTCCAGGTGGGTTAACCAGATCTGGCATCCGCCCTTTGAGTTCATGAACAGGGCGCCGATGTACGCGTGCTTGGCGACAGGCAGAATCCGAAGTTGCGTTGTGAAAGCTTCCCACCAAAGCACCGGGTCCTGATGCATGTAGTCGTCGAACTTCTCGAGTTGAAAAGTTGGCATCTTGTATTGCTTTGGATTGTTGCCATCCGTGTTCGTCGACTGCAGTTGCTGGACCTCGGTCTTCAAAGTATCCAGCTGATTGTTGATGGTGGTCGGCGCAGCGAAGGTGTTGATGTCGCGGAGCATTGCAACGACGTGGTCGACGCGTTGCTCCAGTTGGCGGTTAGAGGGTGCACTGCTGGACTCACCAGCATCTGGTCCTGGTACGGCTTGCTCCAGGTCCAGTACACAGGAATTGAGTGCCTGTGTAGCATCCTCGTGGCTCTGCACTATCCGGCGGAGGTTCGCCAACTCCTGGTGATGTGTCTTCAGATCCTGGTACTGTTGCTGCAGTTCCTGGTTTTGTCTCTCTAACTCCGACTGTTGGTAGTTGCAAGTGTACAACAACCGTGTCACGAGTTTGGAGAGGAACTCCTTATGCTGCTCTTCTGGTGTTGCGTCGTCGCCGTTGGACGGTTCAAAGTGCCAGAACTTGAGTCTTTCGATGCTGGCAGCTTCATGCCGCTGCAGCAGATCCTAGGCCTCCTTGCGGCGTGCTTGGGTATCTGCGTCTGCTTCGGCCTGTAGCCGCTGCTTCTCAGCTGTTGCCGCTGCTTCAGCCTGTAGGTGGGCAGCCTCGGCTGCCAACTGGCGTTGTTCCTCAGCCTCGATCAGAGCGAGCTGAGCCTGGAATTGCTGTTTGTAGTCGGCAAGAGACTCGTTGGCCAGTTGGCCTGACATGCCCAGAGCTGCGCCCGTCATGGTGGCGGGGCACTGCTGACGTGGCACTGTTACTGCTGACGTGGTACTGCTGACGTGGCACTGTTGCTGTCGTGGCACTGCTGACGTGGCACTGTTGCTAACGTGGCACTGTTGCTAACGTGGCACTGCTGACGTCATTGCT